CTATAGCTCAACCGGCTAAGGCGCCAGCCACGTACACCTAAGGTGGCGGGTTCAAATCCCCAGCCCGGACCCGCCAAACAACAATGATTGCAACCAAAAAATAGCCGGGTGTTGTGGCGGGCGCCTGTGGTCCCAGCTACTTGGGAGGTGGAGGCAGGAGACTCGCTTGAGCCCAGGAGTTGGAGGTTGCTGTGAGCTGTAATGCCACGGCACTCTACCCAGGGGGATAGCTTGAGGCTCTGTCTCAAAAAAAAAAAAAAAAAAATACTTGATCTGGCTGGGTGAAGTGTCTCACACCTGTAATCCTAACACTCTGGCAGGGCCAAGGCAGGCAGATAGCCTGGGCTCAGGAGCTTGACACCAGCCTGAGCAAGAGTGAGACCCCATCTCTACTAAAAATAGAAAACCTAGCCAGGTGTAGTGGCTTGTAGGCCGAGCTACTCAGGAGGCCGAGGCAAGAGGATTGCTGGGGCCCAAGAATTTGAGGTTTCTGTGAGCAATGATGCCATGATACTCTCCCCAGGGTAACAAAGTATATATAAATGAAACTATATAAATGAAAAAAAATTAATTTTATTTCTTTATTTATTAAATTATAGCTGTGTACGTTAGTGTAGTCATGAGGTACAGTGTGCTGGTTTTATATACAATTTGAAATATTTTCATCAAACTGGTTAACATTGCCTTCATGGCATTTTCTTAGTTATTGTGTTAAGGCATTTATATTCTACATTTAGAAAGATTCACATGTACCCTTGTAAGGTGAACCATAGGTATGGTCCCATCAGTCACCCTCCCTGAACCCATACTCCCCCCTCCTCTCTCCTCCGTCTCCCCTTTCCACATATTCTTGGGCTATAAATGGGTTATAGTTTTCATATGAAAGCTATAAATTAGTTTCATAGTAGGGCTGAGTACATTGGATACTTTTTCATCCATTCTTGAGATACTTTGCTAAGAAGAATATGTTCCAGCTCCATCCATGTAAACATGAAGGAGGTAAAGTCTCTATCTTTCTTTAAGGTGCATAAATATTCCATGGTGTACATACACCACAATTTATTGATCCAGAAAATTAATTTTATGAAGACAGAGAGTAGAATGTTGATTACCAGAGACTGGAAGAGTAGCTGGGAGGGGGTGAAATGGAGATGGTGAATGGGTCTAAAAATATATTTAGATAGTTGGAATGGACAACATTGGATAGCACAACAAAGTGACTGTAATCAGTAATGAGTTGGCGTGGACTTTAAAATAACTCAAAGGGTGGAATTGGAATGTCCCTGACATAAAGAAATGATAAATTTCCTAAGGCGATAGACACCCCAGTTATTGTGATTGGATTAATCACATTGTACGCCTGTCTCAAAACACCACATTTACCTTATAAAGATATACAACTGTTATACACCTGTAATAATAAAAGAAGAAAAAGAAAGAAAAAAAGGAAAATTCCCTAAAATAAAAATAAAGCGAGTTGCTTGTAGAGAATATATAGTTGGTGGGGAGAAAAAAGATGTTTCTGTGTTCTGTGATCATCTGTAGTTGGGTTATATTTTTTATCTATTCCAGCAGTATCTTTCAACTTGTGCATTTACTCAGAGACCATCAATACTCAGAGAGTATTGTGGATGCAGTTGGATTAATCTCTGCCATAGTCACTGCTGTTTTCTGCCTTTGTTCTTTTTGTCCTCCATTCTTTTTTCTGCCTTTTATGGTTTTATGTGGCCATTTTTCTCTCCTTCCTTGGCCTATCAGTTATATTTCTTTTTTTTTTT